TGCCACTCGAGGGAAGCACGAAGACCAAGATACTTCTAGTGTGTCCAAGCATAGAGAGGAGCAGTCGAGATGCTGAGGTCGGTTTCGAAATACGGTCCTCTCGATCAGTAACTTCGCAACTTAAACACTGAACCACTTGTTCACATAAACAGTCTGCAGTGAGGACACAACACCAGTAAGTATTAACATTTGTCCACGCAGCAGTCGAGTGAGGTCGGTTTCGAAATACGGTCCTCTCGATCAGTAACTTCGCAACTTAAACACTGAACCACTTGTTCACATAAACAGTCTGCAGTGAGGACACAACACCAGTAAGTATTAACATTTGTCCACGCACCTCGACTCCAGTCCTAGACGACCACCCAACTGAGCCTCAGTAGCGCTAACTCCGCCTATTTGCGCATTCATACGTACGGTAACAACAATATCTAATCTATTCGCTCACAGGAACAAATTCAGCAGGGCGAGCTGAACCGGATTGCGCAATCGGAAGCGCATGGAAACCGATCAGGAGACGGTTCTCCTCCTCGGGTCCTGGATACTCGCTCCATAGAAGCAGCTCACATCAACGGAAAGATAGCCCAGCGAACGCTAAACAGCAGTCTGTGTCCGGCTTGTTTCAGAGTGCGAATGTCAAAGCCTCTCAAATGAGCTAAACGTCAGCCATGGAAGCCAAACCAGCCATAGAAACGGCAACTAACTGCGACGGGAGACAGACGGATTTGTCAATCCGTAAAATGGGAGTTAGTTTTCGAATCAATATCCAGCCAACACGAAGAAGAAATGGCATAGTGGCCAGTGAACCGTTACCTCGTAATAAGAGTAGGAGTTCGCTTCACACGGTCTGCAGCTTGTGGGGTTACTGGAGGTGCAACCTCCACCATTATCAACAGAACGGGCTAAACGACTAGGTGTTTCGCCCGTCGAGGCGAGATGAACCAACTGGTTAAAGTGCGAATTTATTGACCGGAAGGTCCGTGGTTCAAACCCGACCACTGCATCTCGACTTCCCCTATCTAGTCTCGGGCGACCTAACATTATTCAGCCCTTGTACTTCCTTCGCATGGCTACGCAGCTAGGCACCGAAAGGGTGCCACAATAAAAACGATCTTTATTTATCATTAATTTTTAGTTTTCGACGAGCTTTTTAAATGCCCATCGTTTGCGTGTAACTTGTCGCCAGTGAAAGACGGTTTGCATACGCAAAAATGGCGCGCTCAACCAAAATAGTTGAAATAATGAACCACGATGCTGAATCGTTGACACATATGTGTGTTCTCCGATGCTCCACGCCCAGAGCGGACCCATTTAGATCCCGCATACCAGACGGACAAAAATGCCGCGATTGCGAGGGCGAGTGACTATAGAGTGGCTTGTTCAGTCCAAAATGTTTGGCGTTATCGTTGACTCCTTGAACTAAGATCCAACTAGTGATCCACGTCGGAAATTGGTACGAATAAATGCGACTGTCGGAAATACATTTTCAACCAAATGCCGGCTGTGTGTGACAAATCTCTAGTGATGTCGGTACATTTTTGCCGCTTCTCCGGCGGAACATGCACCGATTGACCGATCCGTGGAGTTAAAGATCGATAAAAAAGATCAAAGGGTTCCTCCATTTTCTCTGGTCGGTTTTGTTCTTGTCGTTAAGCGGCTTTCGTTCACTTAGAAGGCGCCGTGTAGTAAGCTTACCAGCGTGAAGACTGGCATTAAAAAAGCGTTCAACAGTGCTTTGAAATGGGTACTGGATGGAGCGTGGACGACCATCGCAGGAAGACTATTGCACGCAGAAACCACTAGAAATGAGTGGAAATTTCCCTAATGAAAGTGTGTGCCCTGAGCTTGAAGACCCTTCTTTGATGTCCCCGCCGTGTGTTAGCTGGGTCAATGGTTAAAAACCGGTGTGCAAAAACTTTTTCACAAATATGCGATAAAAGCACAAATAAGTATTAAGCTTCTTCAAAACTCCAGGATGACAACGTCAGGCACCACGAGACACGTTTCACAGACTCCAGATTTAGGGATGGCAGCGATTGCACACACTCAGTAAGGGTTGCATAACTGCATCCTAAGAAGACAACTTGGTTGGTGCATTCAACAAGTGGTCTGACGTTGGAAAAATATAGTATTTAGAATTTCAGGCGAGTAATACGGAAGAAGGTGCACCGAGCCATCCACAGAACGGTGGGTGCCTTTTGTGTCGATTTTTCACGTTGCAGTGGGAAGAATGTTTATTAAGAGAGCCAAAAAGCCAAATCCATTTGGCATCTATCTCCGTGATGCCTTCTGGTCCATTCCCACCATACACGACAAAAACGTTCCCTAAGTCTCCTCAAAATAAAATATGGGCACAGTTTCAATCATGTAGAAGAAGGTGTCAGTCCAAAGACCACTACTATGCAGGAGGAGGGCACCGACGTTTGAACTTTCAGTATACGGTTTGCGCTAGTTTGATTGATTTATATACACTTATTGGTGATGTACAACCTTGCTTACTGGGCTTTGGCTCACGATCTTTCTTTCTGTCTTCCATCCACAAAAGTTGCCGTGAACGCCTGCCTTCGGGGAATCGCTGTCTCCGGGTGCCTTCATAACAAACATACCACTACAGGATTTCAAGCCGTCCACCAAATGTCGTGATGCCTCTGGTCCATTCCCACCATACACGACAAAAACGTTCCCTAAGTCTCCTCAAAATAAAATATGGGCACAGTTTCAATCATGTAGAAGAAGGTGTCAGTCCAAAGACCACTACTATGCAGGAGGAGGGCACCGACGTTTGAACTTTCAGTATACGGTTTGCGCTAGTTTGATTGATTTATATACACTTATTGGTGATGTACAACCTTGCTTACTGGGCTTTGGCTCACGATCTTTCTTTCTGTCTTCCATCCACAAAAGTTGCCGTGAACGCCTGCCTTCGGGGAATCGCTGTCTCCGGGTGCCTTCATAACAAACATACCACTACAGGATTTCAAGCCGTCCACCAAATGTAGGCGTGGGCTTGAAAGAATATCCGGTAGGTCACTGAAGTAGAAAAGAAGCAGCCATTGTCCCGAAAAGGGGTCTAGAGGAACTGTAAATGAAACTGGCGCCAGGTAAGCGTATGTCAAGCCTACTTCCGCTAGGAATGTTATGTCTAATAGGAACGCCATGATCCAGTGTGGAATTACTCCCTAACCCCCATATGACTCGAGTTTGTGGAACGGCGGGACATGTGGGACTCAGTCACATGCTCTCGGGAGGTCAAAAATACGGCATCCGAGGGGAATCCCTCGTCGTCTTATTAATAATAATAATAATGTTTATTCCCAACTTGTGGGTGGCATACCGTCTGGCATGATCATAGATTTACTATCAGAATGGAGCATGACTGAGGGATCTGTGGGGGTGCGGGTTGCACAAAAAGAGGACAATGACACAAACAGTAGGGAACATCCGATGATTTAGCAATAATAGATTATTTCCCAACTTGTTGGGAAAAATGGGCATGAGGTTCGATTAGATCAAAGACAGTCAGGTGGCATAAACTGAAACTGAAAACCATTGCTGGCCATGAGTGACCTTGGGTGGTTAGGTGAATGGCCGGAGTCACAACGAGCAAAAGTGGAGATGGAGATGGGATAACTCAAATTGGGAGCACATGGCAAGTTATGTCTCAAAATTGTGATTTAATCTGAAAGCAAGCAGACCCATTGGTTGCACGGTTGCAGGGATGTCAGGTGCAGGGGAATAGGTTGGATGGTGGCAGGTTGCTAATACATAGGGCGACCTGAACTCCGTATACGGATTTGAACTTGTGCAACAGACAAGTCGAAATTGCAGCAGGAAAGCCAGGCTAGGCAAATCTCAGCAAAAATTCATTGGGTACGGAAGAGCCCATCCCAGAGACGAGGCCGGATGAAAACTGCTCGAAGTTGTGGCCACAGGCTTGAGTGGGCGAGGGGTTGCGGTCGAGATTCTGGAGAAATTAGTTGCGGGATTGCCATCTCACTGGGTATGGCAGTGCCATGCCATCATCGCGCTGACATGCTTCGGTTTACGGACAACCCCGTAACGGTCGTCAAGGGTCGGAGAAGGGATACGCAGTTCCGTGGTGAGACGGAGATTGACACAGGGAGTCATGCGGATGTAGGCTCACGGTTAATTTTCCTTTTGTTAGAAGATCGTGTGAGTGTAGGCCGGGAACTAGACATTTTGAGTGAATAACAGTTCTAATGGGCGTTAGGGCAACTGCGGTCGAGGACTGAAGCTTGGGAAGAGGGGCGAATAGAAAGAAATAGAATGACTGTCAGCAGTGACAGTGGACAACTGAAAAGCGGACAGGCAGCAGCTTCCCAAATAAGTGGTAAGAATCGTTGCTTAACTGAGGTCTACTACATCAACCTAACAGTAAATTGAGATTAAGGATTACCATTCGCCGGGTCCATGCTGTCAACTCCAGAAAACGAATGGTGGATGGCAAAAAAGCGCCATTAAGTGCTAGCTGTGACTCCTTGTAATCAAGAAATCATAAGTTATTAGCACTTTGCGCATATGATGAGTGGCAACACCTTGCACGTCGACGTTAGCCGTAAGCCTCACAGGTACTCTCAGGCTACCCCATGCATGAATGCTTTTTGTATTGTTTTTTAGAACAAACGGGAGGACAGTTGTCGTCCGCTTGTATTTCTTGGTGTTGTGGGACAAGGGACAACCGGAATAAGGCCAATCCAGATACAGACAAACAGCAACGCTGCTCTTTTTTGGTTTTCCTGAATTAAAGACCAGGCTCAGAACCACCGGCGATGGGCGATACACCCGTGCTACTGGAGGGGTGGCGAGTATACGAACGCACCATGGTGCAACGTAACAGCACGACCCTCCCTGCAGGGTGTACCCGTCCACCACACGAGGTTTTCATCCCTCGCGCGTGCTACCAGATCTACAAGGTGGAAAACCATCCAAGCAGTCATAAGTGCGGCTTGTGCAATAATAAACAACTCCAGCTACCAGATATTTTATCCGGTCAGGGGAAAACCAGACCAGTAAAACAGCCCAGTCATTTCGAACAAGCGAACAGCAAACAGCCACCGGAAGAGGCAAGTTGCGGGAGCAAATGAATCATCAACTACCTTTTGGGCAATTGGAGTAGAATGGAGATATTCAGAGCATGTGTACTATGGCTAAACGAAAACGAAGCATTGGTGTGAACCACTCTGTCAAGTAGAGGTGCACCGGTGCTGTGTGTGTGAATGATTGGGCTGTGGGGCCAAACAAGTATTTCATTCATAGCGCATCTTCAGACCCACCATTTGATATTGCACGCTGCACGTATTCAGGGGATGCAAAATGGTTCGGAACAGTGTGGAACTGAGGCTTTAGTTTGGCTGAGGTTATTTACATCCAACCAAAGCAAAGCCCCAGACATTCAATAGAGCTGACAGGGTTACTCAGGGATGGGGCCAGGCTTGAAGAAGTTTCACGCTGGTAAGTGTAAGCTCTGGGACCTAATAACAGGGCAGCCAGGGTGAGTGCGCTGATTAGAAAGGCTTAGGGCCCATTTCAAAAAAAGTATCTAGTGTAAGCTTAGGCGCAAAAAGGCGCTCAGCCCCCTCAATAGAAAGGTAAGAATCGATGGCCTTTCGAAAGCCAACGTGGGATGAGATAGTACGGATATGGGAGGGGAGCTTGTTCCGTAGTTTAGAACAAAGGCAAAGGAAAAGGTTTTGTCTAAAGACAGTTCGACATAACGACAGTGAGGGTAAACATCCTGCGTTACGAATATTATAGGGAGTACGTGAAGAAAGTTCAGGGCCGCAGTCAGATAAGTAAGCGCGCCAGTAGATTAAGCGATGCAGGAGGCCTAGATCCAACCTGATGCGCCTTAGCCATGATGGATCCAGCCCAAGTGACAAGCAGCGAAGACGATACGGTACTGTGGATGACACCGGAAAGAGGGCCTTAGTAAATGAGCATTGCACATTCTCCACAGCAGTCCGGGTGGATGACAAAAGAGGGCCTTAGTAAATGAGCATTGCACATTCTCCACAGCAGTCCGGCATGTCTGTGAATACTGTGAGGCGAATTCAGTCAGGG